ACGCAAATAGACTGATAATTTAGATTAATAGTTAGTTTAGAGTCATATTCCTTCATAATATGTTTCCATAATGCATCAAAATGGTGTTAATTGAAGAGTGGAGGTAACAACAACGATTCAAATTATATTAGTCAAAACCGTTCCATTTATAAAGAGAGAACATGATCATCTCATTCCCCTTTGATCCTCATCGTCTGTACACTCTTCGGTAGTGTTTCTTTGGTTCGCCATTCTACAAAGAGGGAGTAAGAGCGTTGAGGAGGGCTACTCTTATGTTCACCAAACTCCTGTACACCCTCTCGCTTCCCTCCTCCAATCCCTCCATCCTCTCCTCCAGCTTCTCCATCGCCCCCATCTCCGCTTCCTCTGCTTCACGCTTTTTCGATGGCGACGGCCTCCTCAATGCCCGCACCATCCACGAGTCTTTCGACGTCGAGGCGGCCGCCGCCGCTGATGCCGCTGCGGACGACACCGCCGCGATCCCCAGGTAAACCGCCGACATCGCGGTCGCCGTCGCTGCCACCGCTTCAGTGACGATCCCTGCGACCTCGGCCTCGGCCGCGTCCGCCCAGAGCCCCGGAGTGAAGGGTGGACATCTGGTGAGATCCTTGATGGCCGTGGCGAGCAGGACGAGCTCCTTCTCCGCCCGCCGGAGGGACCGGGCGGCGGAGGCGAGCCGCACCGGGTCGCGCCGCCTGACTGCGGTGCAGGCCTCCGCGTGGTGCTGCCCGAGCGCCAGGACGGCGGAGCGGAAGGAGCCCTGGGCGTCGAGGAGGCGGAGAAAGCCGTCGAGGAGGCGATCGGCCAAGGCGGGGCAGCGGCGGAGGGGATCCTGGATCCGGGAGAGGCGGAGGAGGTCGTCGAGTGCCGCGAGAAGGCGGTCGATCCGCTCGAGATCGGAGGCGGTGCCGGAGCGTAGGGAGCGTATCTCGTCCTGGATGAGGGAGAGGGCGGACTGGGAGCGGCAGGGGAGGCTGGCGGAACGCGCGTGTCGGGGCGCGTCGCGGGGGCGCCGGCGGGCGGGGCTGGCGTTAGGGCTCAGGCCCGATAAAGAGAGGGAGCGGCGGAATCCGGAGATCATCTCGTCTTTCCAATCTCGGGTATGCTTGCTTAACTGTCTGTCTGATCTTTGGCTTCTTCTGCTGATCGGTGGAGAGAGAGGAGAGGAAACGGGATTTATAAGTAGAGAAAGGAGTGCGTCGGAGATGAGATGGGATTAAAGAACAGAGGAAGCACGGAATGGGCTGGCGCTCAGGACTCCACTCGCCGTTCTGCGCGGAGAGGGAACAGACGTGGGACGGAACACGTGGCGACCCAACATTATCTCGTGGTCTCTACTAATAAAACGCATAGTTTAGCAGTCTGATCTAAGTCATTACAGGTTGGAGGGGGTGAGGAGTAGCTAAGGGTATCAGCTAATAAACCAAGGTCTAATCTAATCCATGCTCAATTGTAGTTGATCTCGTGTTTAACTTAAACTAGATAAAGATCGTGTAACTTATGAGCATCGCAAATTACTGGATTTTATCTTAAGATGGCCAAAGCTTGTCTGCATAAATGAAGAATGAGTTAGGAGGAGGAGGACGGGGATGGAGGAGAGATAATAAATGGCAGAACAGCAAGATCCAACCATGTCAACAATGCAAATCGAGATCTGGAAGCATGGCAACGCATAAAAGCAGGACCACGGATCCCATCTGTCTCTGCCTCTTTTGTTATCCATTTGTTGTAGGCTCGTGTCGATCTTTTGTGAGTCTCCACGTACAGTAAATGAAATAATAAATATATAATTTACTTTATGAACCATCTTGTAGATGTTTAAATCATAATAATGGTAGAACAAAATTCTTGCAAGCAACATCTCATGTTTGATTTTTTGTTTTAGGAATCATATCATAATTGGTTAGTGATGATTTGGCAATTCTATTTGATTTAGTATACAATCGACAGAGATCAGACAAAACAAATGGCGAGGTTCTTTCTTCTCTGTTGGGTCGAGATTCCTGATGTCTCCTTGCCACTTGTACCGGCGGTGGATTCCCGGAGCGATCATATGCGCCTGTGGTTTCGGATCCACGTGCGGCGTTTCTTGTCGCTCACTGCCCACGAGTTCTACGACTGTGTGTGCATTTGGGTTTTCCGTCGGCGACGAAGAAGGAAGGAAACATCATAAAGAAATGGAGAAACGGTAGTGAGAGAGATGGATGTGGAGACAAAGCAAAGATGTCAGTCGGAGGGTGAGACGGCATTTCTTGGGTTGGCGATCCGAGTTCCCGAGGAGGTGGGGAACAAAGCTGTAATGACTTTTGGGAAGAGGTGGCGTCCAAAAACCTCAGATGGCCCCATCAATGAAACAGCACAAGGCAGCTCAACGCATGGAGAAACCATTCTGTAGTGGTTCGTGGCAAGGTACACGAGTGCCATGGCATCATGCATTAAACTAATGGAATGTGCATCAAGCCAACCAAGGTTAGTAGGTTCTTCTCCTTCGTTCCGGTAGACGCATGCCTGCATGGCTTAGACTAGATACCTTATTTTAGTCACCGGAGATTCCTGCTGTCCTCTTCTTCCCCGCGTGTGCGAGGTGTATGTGCTCGGGGAACCGTATGCCTCGTCTGCTGCTGCGTACCCGATGCGTTCGCGAGGAGTCAACTAGAAATCGTAATATAAAGAAATTTAGAACAATTTGGGTGGTAATTGATTGAAGGGATAGACCAATCCTGACATAATTAATGTTACTCTTTTAAGTTGACATTTTCAATTTCCTACCCAGCATCCAAAAACACTTGGCTCGATCTGCCTGTGATATCGGGTCTTTTCGTGTTCGTAATATAGAGAGACTAGGGCGTGTTTGCATATACTAACATTTGTACATGTGAAATTACTCAGGACTTTAGAAAGGAGATTCCATCTTTTACTTTAGGTCATAATATCGGTAATGATATCAGATACGAGATACATTATTAGTTAATTATCTGATACGTCATCGTTGTAAAAGAAAGAGGAGAAAGATAGTATTCCTTCTTGTCATTTATGAGAAAGATAATTGTAAATTTTTTTCTTATCATTATGATCAGAAAGGTAATGCTTCCTTCTTATCCTTTACTATCAGGTATATATGTTTATCTTTAACATAGAGAAAGAGAACCATTTGCATCGGCTCTCGCATACCTTGGGTTATTAACTTGGGCTTCGGAGGGATCGAGTTGAGAACCCCCCCCCCCTTCCCCCTCCCCCCAACCTTGGTCTTGG